AGGGCTGTTAAATATTATCAAATGCTTTTTCTTTTTTATACACAGTTTGCTAGTATGTTGTTTAGAATTTTTGTATGTTTGATCATAAATGAGATTGGGCTGTATTTTTACTTTCTTGTACTCTCCTTGTTTGGTTTGGTGTCAGTGTTATACTAATCTCATATGATGAGCTGGATAGAATTTCTTGTTTTTTTATTCTGAGTTTGTGTAAAATTGAAATTATATGTTACTTTAAGGTTTGCTAAAACTTTGCTGTAAGATTGTCCAGGCCTAGAGCTTTCTTTGAGGAAAGGTTTTTAATTGTTTATTCAATTTCTTGAGTGAGTGTAAAGAACAGTCAGATTTTTTATTTCTTCTTGAATCAATTGTTTATAATTTTCTGGGACTTTTGTCAGTTTCACGTATTTTTTCAAATTACTGTCATACGGTATTTAAGGTTCTAAATTTCTAACTACTGCTTTAGCTGAATCCCGCAGAATATAATATATAGCATTTTTATTAACATTTGTTCTTTATGTTTTTGAACTTCTGTTAGGACTTCATCTTTGACCCATAGATTATTCAGAAGTCGCTTTTGTTTGCTTGTTTAATTTCTGGCTTATGTTTTGTTTGTTTTTGGTTCTAACCTTGTTTTATGATAACAGTTTTTTTAAATTTGTTGAGACTTATTTTGTGATCTATGTTCCAGTTACTCTTGCTATATAATGAGTTGCCCTAAAATTTAGTGTCTTAATACAACCATTTTATTTTGCTCACAATTTTGTGAGTCAGGAATTTGGAAAGGGCTCATCTGTGCAGTCTTGCATGGGGTCTCTCATGCAGTTACAATCAGATATTGGCTGGGGCTGCAGTCACTTGAAGGCTTGATTGACCCGGAAGACCAAGATGGCTTCCTCACATGGCTGCTGGTTGATGTTAGCTGTCAACGGAGAGCTCAACTGGGCTGTATACTGGAGCCAGCTACACAAGTAATCTGGCTTCTTAGCCATGGTGGCTGGTTTCTCCCAAAGTAATCATCTCCAAAGCCCTTCTACCTGGTAGAAGCTCCGCAGTCATTTCTGACCTAACCTTGGAAGTTACTCAGCATCACTTCTGCTGCATTCTAGTGGCTATAAGCAAGTCCAGAATCAAGGGGAGGGGATTTTGACCCCATTTTTTGATGGCAAGAGTTGAGGAATTTGTTGACATGTTTTAAAACCTCCAAGCCTAGAATATGGAATTTTGTACATTTATATGCTTTTCCATGTGTGCTTGAGAAGAATGTATATTCTAATTACACCTACTCCTCACTTACCAACTGTCTCGGTATCTGACGTTTCTCATTGATGACAGTAGTAAAAAATCTGCTATCCAACCATTTTGCACATTAATGACATACGTCTGGCAGTAACAAACGCCGAGGTGTGAGACTAGAGTAACTCTGGGTGTGATGGTTAAAATTATGTCAAACCATGATTCTCAGTGATTTGGCAGTTATGTACTGATGTAATTTGGCAGATATATAATGATGTAGTCATCCTCCGTTTTGTGATCCAGTGTAGTCAGCCTCCATTTTCACATAACACTGACTTTTTCATAACAACCTGGTCTTTGGAACCTAACCATGTTGATAAGTGAGGAGTGAGTGTATTGATTACTGTGTTTTATCTGCATTTGTTAATTTAAGCTGTGGTTGAAATCTATATTCTTACTGCTTACCTACTTGCTAGTTTGGTTTTTGTTAGTGTTTATCTGCTTACCTGGTCAATTGTTGAGAAGTGATAATTTTTTTTGTATTTTGAAGCTCTTGTTATTAGGTGCTTACAAGTGTAGGATTATTATATCTTGCTGGTGAATTGAACCTTTTATCAATATGTAGTGACCCTTTCATCTCTTGTGATAGCTTCTGCCTGAAAGACTATTTTGCCTGATATGATATAGTGTAGCATCTTTCTTTTGTTTAGTATTTTTTCAGTATTTGCCCGCTTGGGATTCACTTCACTTCCTGAATCTTAGGTCTTAAATTCTCTAAAATTCTCAATTGCTGACGCTTTGAATATTGCTACTCCCTCATTCTCTCTATTCTTTTCCTTTGGGAACTTTCATATTCTATCATCCATGTCTCTTAACCACTCATTTTTTTCATCTTTTTGTCTTTCCATCTAAAGAAACATATAATTCCAATTTTACACAAGCTCAGTTCTCATCAGTTCTTAGTTTGCTAAGAGTTTTTTTTGTAACAGGGTTTCAATTGAGGGTATTTTCTTTCAATTATAGGCATTTTTCTCATATATATGTGCTAATTCCTAATTTTCTTTCGACCTCTGTCTAATCTGCTTATTAACCCATCAATTGAGTTCCTAATCTGCTTATAATATTTTTTATTTCTCGATGTTGTATTTGGTTCTTTTGAATTTCTGCCTGATCAGTTTTGATAGACACTTTTTCCTTCATTATATTTTCAATTCTTTTATTTCTTTATACACATAGAACACATTTATTTTCTTTACATAGTAATTCTAATATCTGTGATCTTTATAGGTATAATTCTGCTGTTTCTCACTTTTGGGGCTTGTTTCTTTATGTGTTTAGCAATTTCTTGTTGTAAGCTCATTTTCCATGAAACATTATTTGTGGAAAATTTTTGAGACCTGGGTTTAAAGTGTATTCATCTAGAGAGGATCTACAGGCACTACCAGCCTGTCACTTTTAAATAGATTTTTGACTTGGAGGTTTTTCAGGCCAGACAAATCATATAAATTCAGGCCCCAACTCTGCCTGAATGTAACCCTGTGATTAGGGATTCTCAGGCGAGACTGTTTTGGGTTTCTTTCCTTTCCACCCAGCCAAGGGTGAGATAGGCATGACTCCCTTTAATCATCCTCTCCTTCAGCAGGGCAGGGTTATTTTTTCTACTTCATGCGATAATGGAGTTCTCCTACCAGAGTTCTGGCTTTGTCTCCTGCGCCCTGCCCATGTCCCTTGAGTCCTGGCATTAGGCAAACACCAGCTCCTGCATATGTGCTTATCCCTCTGGATTCCTGCTTTCTCATTATTGCTGGCATCTGAGGAATTTCCTTACTTCCTGCCAGCTCAGCATTGAATTTTAAAAGATTTTTTAAAATACGTGATCCAGCAATATTAGGAGTGCTGTACTCAGAGGGGTTTCTCGGAACATCAAACCTGCCATCTTCCTTTGAGTTAGATTTTAACCAGTGAAGTGGATCATGCTTCAATATACAGTTGTTTTACAAGTTTTACCCAGAACTCCTTTTCCAAAGAATTGGACTATTAAATCTATTTGGTGAAATAGCCTTCAACCTAATGAGCATAGTTTCTAACATCTCAGAAGTACAGAAAAACATTGATTTTTATGTCACTCTTTCAGAGTATTAGAAGTAATTCAGCCATAAAGACAAATGAAATTCTGATAACATGCTATGAAAACATTTGTTGGGTGAAATAAATCATACGTAAAAGAACAATTAGTGTGTAATCCCAAGTATGTGAAATATCCAGAAAAGTCAAAAGCATAGAGACCAAAGGTTGTTAGTGGTTATCAGGAGCAGGTGGGAGGGGAGGATGAAGACATCACTATCCTGGATTGAATTGTGTCCCCAGAAGTATTTGTCACCTTGGTTAGGCCATCATTCCCAGTATTGTGTTGTTGTCCTCCATTTTGTGAGTGTAATTTTATGTTAAAGAGGATTAGGGTGGGATGGTATAACACCCTTACTAAGGTGACATCTCTGATCAAGTGTAAAGGGAGTTTCCCTGGGGTGTGGCCTGCACCACCTTTTATCTTACAAGAGACAAAAGGAAAGGGAAGCAAGCAGAGGGGGGAGACCTCATACCAGCAAGAAGGCAGTGCCGGAAGCAGGGCGCGTCCTTTGGACCCGGGGTTCCTGTGCAGAGAAGCTCCTAAACCAGGGGAAGATTGATGGCAAGGACCTTCCTCCAGAGCCGACAGAGAAAGCCTTCCCCGGGAGCTGACGCCCTGAATTTGGAATTCTAGCCTGCTAGACTGTGAGAAAATAAATTTCTGTTTGTTAAAGCCATCCACTTGTGGTATTTCTGTTATAGCAGCACTAGATGACTAAGACAGTTGCTTAAGGGGCACAGAGTCTTTGTTAAGGGTGATAAAAAATCTGGAAACAGACGGTGGTGATTGTTGCACAGTATGGCGACTGTAGTTAATGTCACTGAATTGTATGAGGAAAAATGGTTGAAGTTTTTGTATATGTTTCACCACAATAAAAATTATAAAAAACCCTCATATAATGGTACATTAAAATAAAAATGATTTTTTTTTAAAAAGAAATATTACAAGTAATAATGAAATGCTGCTTAAGATCTTATGTTTATCATTAGAGTTTTCGTGACCTCTTCTGAGGTATAAATTCACATTTTTTGTTTTATTTATAGATAACGGAGTTAGAAATGTTGTCGGAGTTAAGAGAATTCTGTGTCCTTTTGACTTCTAGAGCATAGCTATAGTTCTTTCAGCAGCTCTGAAATGAGAATGAAATGTTACCTCTTTTTTGCCAACTATCTGATCTATATATGTCGTATTTCATAATTTACCCCTTTCTTCTTTTTTACTTTTTTTAAAAACTTTGCATGAGTAAATTACACCCTTTTCCCCCCTTTATTGCTGGGGGAAAATTTATCTCATCTTGAAGCAAACAGGAATAGTTTAGCTTCAATTGAAGTTATTTGTTTCCATTTATTCATAGAGTCCTCTGAGTCTAGAAACCGATGATTTGATTGAGTGGATTAATGAAGAATATTTTATGCTGTTTAATGTCCCTCTGCCCCCAACACCCCCCTGCCCCCCGCTCCGGCCCAGTTATTACGTGCTCTGTGTGTTTGCATGTTTGGACTCGTACATAATATAATTGGTTAAAGGTATTTTTAGGGATGCTTAGTGCAACAGATACTTCTACTAGTAATACTGTTTTCAGTTTATACATTTGTAAAAAAAACCAAATGACCTATTAATTCTGTGTTTATTCTCTTAGGGTAATACTGAACAACCTGTCCAAACTAGCAAGATTGGACTAGGAAGGAGAGAGTATCAGAGTTTACAGCATCGCCATCATTCTCAGCGTTCTAAGTGCCGTCCACCTAAGGGCATGTATTTAACCCAAGAAGATGTGGTAGCTGTCTCCTGTAGTCCCAATGCAGCCAACACCATCCTGAGGCAACTGGACATGGAATTGATTTCTCTAAAACGTCAGGTATTTTATAAAAATCATATGTTTTTATGACTCTGTCCTTCATGCTTATCTGCTTTTACCTAGATTGACCTCAGTTGTTGGTGTATTTTCTCAGCCACTCATTTACATAAGGTTTATTCTTTAAAATTTATCTTTTTTCCAAATGATAAGATGCCTCTCTCTTTCTGTTTTAGGTTTGAATCCCAGCATTATTAGCTCTCTGATCTTGGGCAATTATGTAGCCTCTCAAAGCTTCAATTTCCTTTTCTTATTTTTGAAATTGGGGATGATAATCATTCTTCTTTTGGGAATCATTTGAGATGATACATGTAAATTGTTTAACACAGTGTTTGGCACAATATGAATGCTAATCATCATCATCCGTAGTGTTAGTAGTCGTACTAATAGTACTTAACTACTACTAATTATGATGAGAGAATACTCTTACCATCATCATAATTAGTAGTAGTTAAGAGTCAGAATCAAGAGTCAGTAAACCTAAGTTCTAACCCTGGCTACACCATTGGCTTACTATGTTGCATTACATGAACTGTTTAACTTCTCTCAACCTCAGTTTCCTCTTCTGGAAAATGAGGCTAATAGTATGGTATTTGGGACAAATTAAATGAGATAATATATGATAAGTGCTTAAAAAATGCCTGGCATGTAGTAAGCACTTTTTTCCTGTTTTTCGGTTGGTTTTTTTTTCTTGTTGTTAGTGTTTTCCCTATTCCTTACAACTAGGTACTCGTATTTTCTTGGCCTATAGCAACCAACCCCACATGATATGCCAGTACTTTCTGAGTCTACTTCTCAAGTTCCGTCTTTTCTCCTGAGCTCTCCGTAGCTGTATTTCCAGTTGCCTGCTAGACATCTCATCTGCCTCCAGAGACTTTTGGTCTCAGTTCCCTATCTGTTGAAATATCAGAATCATCTTTGGTTTCTTTTTGCCATTATCACTCACCCAACACAAACTCAAGTGGTAACCAAGTTATGTGAGTTTTAACTCTGAAACTTCCTTTAACTCACTCCCCCTATTTTTCTCCCATCACTAATAGCCTTGTTTAGTCCCTTTATCACCTCGTGTGACAGTAACTAACTATACTGTTGATTTTCCTTGCTGTCTACTTCTCTTCAGCTCCATATTAACATTGTTGCCAGTGTTACCTTTTTAAAATATTGGTCTGAGCAGGGTCACTCATCTTAAAGCTCTTCATTCATTTCTGCTTAACCTTTAGCAGGTCACAGCAGAGGTGGACAAGGCCAATCATGCAGGACTTATAGAAGGCCATGTTAAGAAAGTTAAAATTCATCCCAAGTTATGAAACCACAGAGGTCTTTAAAAGAGAGGTGTAACATAGTCATATTTATATGTTCAGCCGTATCTCTTTGCATTTTTTTTTTAGTAGCTGCTCTAAGGAGTACAATATACATTCTTACATTACCACAGTCTACTTAGAGTTAATATTGTACGACTTCACGTAAAGAACCTTGCAACAATATAGTATGAGACTGAGGGGGTTTTTCTCTGTCCCAAAGACGTTCTACTTTCTCTGTCCTGTCCCTTGACCCTGGTTACTCACCCAGACTGCTCCTGTATTTCTTTTCTTTAGCAAACTTCCTAGATAAATATACCACATTAGCTTCCAGTGCTGTCTTACCAGCGTTTACTCTCTGACCCTTCAAAATCTTGTTTCTGACCCACACCCACCCCAGTACTACCACGGAAAAAGCGCGTTTAAGATCGTTTATGAACAAGTTGCCATGTCTGCTGCACTCTTCTTTGTTCTTATCCCCCTTGACTCCTCAGTAATATTTGACACTGTCAACCGTTTCTTCCTTCTCAGAATTCCTTTCCCTGTACTTTTGTGACACTGGACTCTCTTGAGTATACTTTTGATTGAATGCTTAGTCTTTAGTCAAACCATTAATGCTTACTGAGGACTCCCATCTTCCTAACCACAGTACTCCCTTCTCTTTGGAGAACTTCTAAAAAGCTTTGCCTGTAATATTATTAAAGTACTCAATTTTTTTTTTTTTTTTTTTT